CTTCTTGCAAGACCAACCAGAAATGTATTGGATAAATGCAAGGAAAAGGTTATCACGAAGAGAACCAATCTGCGAGTCTCATGAAAGTAAATTGCTCGATCGAATGGCAATAGGTTTCGAGTGCAGTAACAAAAATGACTTCCGTCGAAATAAAATCCTGATTAACACCGTCTAAGATGAACGTTGCCAATCACTATTTGTATTAAACTTGGGAGTTTGTACAAAAGTGGAACTGATACAATTTTATTTTTCACAGGAAAGTGTTTGTAAAACAAGTTATTGTAATGGAATTTATATGAAATACAATATATATTTTCTATCATATCTTAAGAATATGAGCGTTTTATCGTAGATTTTAACTGAAATGTGAACGTTTTCAGGCAAATGGACCAGCTAGCATCATATCCATAAAAAAAGAACATATCAATAACTATGTAATGTTAACATTACAGAGTGGAAAACACGTAAACAAGACAAGCTGCAATAGTTAACCACTAGAAATTAATCACTAACATTTAATTCTAGAAACACCTTGTTTACATTGCATCCCTAGAAATGACATGGTTACCAAGTAAGCTATAATCTCGTGTTTTGCCATGTTTTCTTTTTCCAAATAAAGGTTGTATCAACACTGTCAAAACATTTATCAATCGGTTAACATCTCCATGCACAGGAAGCGATAATAGCTCGATTCATCCAGTCGAGATAAAGAACATCATCTCTCTCTTCAAGTGTATACTTGTCACAATAGCTTTACAACAAAGTTTTGATGATATTATTGACGAATGAGCTTAATGGAGAGGGTGTAAAGCCAGCCATAATAAACCTTGATCTCCATTTGCCTAGAAGTTCATGACATTCCACTCTTTCAAGCCTTTCGCATACTATAATGTTGACGATCTCCCGGGCCAGATAATAATGTTCAGTTTTGATCCGTTCATTGTGTTAATATAAAATTTTAATATATTTTTATATAAATTATGTAAAATTTAATATTAATAAAATTAAAATAATAAATGATTTATTTAAATGCTCAAGTAATATATTATCGATGAATTTTTATATAAATAAATTTTATTTAAATATTTAAAATTTCACTTGTTAAAAAATATATAACAAGGACAATTTGGTAAAATATACATTCCAGTAATCTTTTATTCTTTCAACCAAACACTGTAATCTTACATTCCTGCCAAACAAAGTAATGTAATATTCACAGTAATCCTATTCCGTGGTAATCTTTTATTCCCACTGGTAATCTTACATTCCGTGAACCAAACGCACCTTTAGTAAACATATTAGTTCAATATTCAACGGCCAATACTATTTTATTGCAAGTCAAAAAATAAAAAATAATGAAATTACATCATTAGTCTTTAAATTCCTTAGATTTTATAGTTTCAACTTCAAAATTCATCTTATGTACAATTTGGTTTATACATTCTTCAATATTTAAAATCTAAAAAAAGAAAAAGAAAAAGAGAACCGAGTAAATAAGTTTATAAACGAGTCAAAAAACAAATGTATTCTTTAACATAAATGACCGAAACACACATCTTTTCGTATTCACTTATTTATTAAATGAACATAAAAATTTTAATCATACAATTTATTAATATTAATAAATAATTATTATACAAACTATTCACGAACATTTCATAGCACACTCAGCTCATTTACACACTTACGCACATATAAAAAATAATTATTAATATAACACGTGTGAGCGTGCTATAACAACAAAAGCAGCGTTTTGTCCTTTTGCCTCTAGTTTCTAAATCCTTTTTTCCCAGGTAAATCCGATCAAAAACCCTGGCTGTGGGAAGTGGGAAAAGAGATTCTTATAACTAAACTAATAAAAAAAAGAGTAAACTACATGGAAGACCACCAAATTATGGTCATTAATTGAGCTTGCCATTGAACTATTTTTTATCTCAATTCGACCACCAAACTTTTTAATTAATTTAATTAGACTATTGTCCGTTAAAAAAATAGACTTGCTGACATGTCCGTTAATAAAACTAGTATAATTATATATTTGGTCCTTAATTTTGGGATAATTATATATTTGGTCCTTAATATTTACATATTCTATCAATTTAGTAACTATTTTAATTCAATTAAATAAATTTAACTATCCAATTAGAACATAACCCGTGTCAATACATGATTGGAAGGTTTTATTTATGAATTTTAAATTATTTAATTTAATAATTTTTTATCCAATCAGGTGGTGACGCGTTTCACCACCCCGATTGAAATGAAAAATTGAAGAATAAAAGTTGCAAACAGGGAGGATCGAACCTGTACCTTTGGGAGAAGATTAATTAGCGCTCAAACCGTTGGGCCAAAACTCCCAAATGGTTTTAACTTACAACAGTTTGTATTTGACTTCTAAAAGTTTGTTAATGATAAAAACAATGAAACAAATCATTTGTTTAAATTAATTAATTTTTCTTTAACCGTCAAATAAAATCGAAATTGATTTGAAAATTATTAACCGAACCAAATCCACCAATTTTTTTCTTTAACTTTAATCGAACCAAAATTTCGGTTCAATTAATGTTAAAGAAAAAAATTCGGTTAATTTGGTTCGGTTAATAATTTTCAAATAAATTTTGGTTCGATTAACGGTCAAATAATTTTGGTTCGATTAATGTTAAAGAAAAAAATCGGTGGATTTGGTTCGGTTAATAATTTTCAAATAAATTTCGGTTTGATTAACGGTCAAATAATTTTGGTTCGATTAATGTTAAAGAAAAAATCGGTTGATTTGGTTCAGTTAATAATTTTCAAATAAATTTCGGTTCGATTAACTGTCAAATAATTTCGGTTCAATTAATGTTAAAGAAAAAAATCAGTTGATTTGGTTCGGTTAATAAATTTCGGATCGATTAACGGTGAAATAATTTCGGTTCGATTAATGTTAAAGAAAAAAAATCAGTGGATTTGGTTCTGTTAATAATTTTCAAATAAATTTCGGTTCGATTAATGTTAAAGAAAAATTAATTTATTTAAACAAATAATTTGTTTCATTGTTTTTATCGTTAACAAACTTTTAGAAGTCAAATACAAATTATTGTAAGTTAGAATCATTGGGATGCTTTAGCTCAACGGATTGGCCATTGGTTAATCTTCCCCCAAAGGCATAGGTTCAATCCTCCTTGGCTGCAACGTTTGTTCTTCAAATTTTCATTTCAATCGGGGTGGTGACACGTGTCACCATCTGATTGGATAAAAAATATTAAATTAAATAATTTAAAATTCATAAATAAAATTTTCCAATCATGTATTGACACGTGTCATGTTTTAATTGGATAGTTAAATTTATTTAATTTAATTAAAATAGTGACTAAATTGATAAAATATGTAAATATTATGGATCAAATGTATAGTTCTGCCTGTTTTATTAACAGACACGTCAGCAAGCCCGTTTTTTTTAAACGGAGAGTGATCTGATTGAATCAATTAAAACGTTTGATGATCGAATTGAGATAAAAAATAATTTGGTTGCAAGATCGATTAATGACTATAGTTTGGTGGTCTCCCGTGTAGTTTACCCATAAAAAAAAAGGAAATGTTGTTAAGAAGTCGCACAGCTTCATTTAATCTATTCAACAAGTGTCTCCATCAATCGTTTCATGTTCCCTACCGCTCTCTCTCCTCTGGTACTTCTCTCTCCGTCTTTTTTTCCCATAAATTTTCTCAATATGTTTCAAAATGGCGTCTAATGAGCCCTGTTTGGGTTCTGAGAAATTACTTCTCTTGCAAGTTTAAAATTTGATGCCAAATAACAGAATAAGGAGTTAGAATGAATAAAAAATCGTACTTTAATTTCTAGGATTTATCACAATTTATAGTTTACTACTTTACTCTTTAACGAAATTCTTGCATTGAGGGAAGAAAGACAAAGAAGCTTTAGATATCGTTCGTTTTTTTATTGAATTGTTCCATCTTTGCAGTTGCGGCTGATGTTCATAATCAATCAACGATTAAGAGTATGAAAAGAGATTTCCTTAATCTTGACATTAATTCACAAATTGGGAGCTGTATGCCAATTGCTTCCATGCGAATTGGAACCTTTATTCACAACATTGAGGTGAACCCTGGTCAAGGTGGAAAGATAGTCCGGGTGGCCGGAACTTCAGCTAAGATCCTCAAAGAGCCGAAATCAAGATATTGTTTGATTAGACTGCCTTCGGGTGCAGAAAAGTTGATCAATACTCGATGTAGAGCAACTGTTGGTACTGTGTCAAATCCTACCCATGGAGCTAAGAAGCTTGGGAAAGGCTGGACAGAGTCGGTGGTTGGGCAGGAGGCCTGTGGTTAGGGGAGTTGCAATGAATCCAGTTGATCATCCTCATGGTGGTGGTGGTGGTGAGGGGCGGAGTAAAAGTAGCGGAAGTTATGGGCAGACTTCACGGACGCCTTGGGGTAAGCCTTGTAAATGTGGGTTTAAGACTGCTAAAAGCAGACGCAGAAACTAGTTCTCGGTCGATTTGGCATTTTGTTTCTTTATCTATTTTCAACAAACCGATTTTCACGTTTTTTGCTGAAATTTGTTTATAAGTTAAAAAATTTGTATGCCGTTTAAGCTTTATGGACGTTCATCTTTCTTCTTCAACAGGCTATAAAATAAGTATGTTAATTTCAGGGAAACATACTTTCATTTAATCGATATCTCAGCTGATCACATGGTGATGGTAAATTTTTTATATGCATCTTCAACCTTGTATGCACAATCTGAACCATTTGTAAGAGTGCGTTTTTTTTATGTTGATTTGTTCTTTTCCATCTCGTCTTTGATTGATATCTCAGTATCTTCTCCTGTAAATTATCTTATCATGAATAAACAAACTATTGAGATAGTGCTACTTGGTTCCTGAATTAGTTATGTGGATTCAGATTAGTTCATCCATAGTTCTTCCAGAGTACAAGGAAAAACAAAACAAAATCCTTAGGCGAAAATTATTGAGATTATTGTCGTGTGAAATAGGGTGTAAAAGTAATTTTCTAACTTATTTTGATTACATAAATGTTCAAACATGTTGAATAGAGGCACATCCGGTAACTATCACCGCCTTGTCTCAGTCATTGGAGATGGTCTGAGTATATTACTATATAAATAAACAATCATACAAGACTTAACTCATCAGTAACACTTGAAGGTTCCATCTGTTCTTGAGACGGAACTGCTGCAAGTTTCTTCCGCAGGGCTGCTAAGTCTTCCCCGGCATTACATATATAGGCAGATGCTTGCCTGCCAGACAAAGTTGCTCCTTCCATACTATCTATATAATCCTGTAAACAGTAACACGATGATATACTTATAACATTACCAATTTTCTTTAGTTAAAAGATTTAGATAAACAGCTGTTCTTCCTAGAAATGCAGGAATCACCGTCTAAGATGGCAAAGAAAGGTAGAAATTACCTGCTTTGTGTACGACCCGGCAAGAAAGAAGTTCTTTACGGGTGTCTTCTGATCAGGTCGGAATGGATCTTTACCAGGCCCTTCACGGTATAGAGATTGCCCGATCTTCACTACAGATGACCAAACAACTTCTAAACCTTGGGATGATGGGAATAGAGCCAAAACCTGCCAATGAAACAGAAGTAGTGATGATCATGAGTTGACATTCTATCTCCTTGATGTTAAAAGCAAACAAGGTAAAAAATTTGGTGCATCTAGATCACGTTAAGTATTGTCCGAGAAGGCAGAAATCGTAGAAGTTAACAACAGCCAGATGATCCTGGTTATCTTCTTCCATTAAAACCTGACTAGATCCACCGACAAGCCAAACTATTGCTAGTCCCCAGCAGTGCTCACTAATATATGAAACACTATAGGTGCTAGCTAAGTTGCCTCTACTGTATATTTTTCTTGAAGTATCCATGTATGACATTCAACATATATGGAATATGGATATGATCCTCCAACGATCCTCTCAACATGGAAAAATGTAGTTAGAAAAAATACCCGTACCGGAAACTTGCATCAGAGTGCAAGTAACATAGGGTGCTAGGGCACATATGAGCAAACCCCAGGCTACTAGAGACCAACTTAAGACAGAACTATTTTGCTTGTATGTGCCTCTTGAAAGTTGTAATTAATTTGAGAATAAATGGCTCCTTAAAAGTTTCCTACCTGCTTTGCTACTCTCTTTATGATTTCATCGTTTGGCAGTGGCATGTATGGGTCTCCGGGTGTCAAGACACATCTAAAAGTCAACAGCCAAACAAGCAATAAAATAATTTAGTCAATCGATGAGAAGATGAAGTATCGACAAAATTTATAGGGATACACAACCTCAGTATTACTATGTTATCGGAATTTTCTTCATATCAAAATCCAACAAGCAACTGATACGTAACCGAAAAAAACAACATAATAACAGTTGAGGAAATAAGTGTACTTACTGGAGCAATGAACCTTGTCCTTCGATGTAGTAATCTTCTGGAGAAGTTAGAGCTAGGTCTGCAAAGCAGGAGAAATCTGCATCTGGAGTATACAGAAGATTATTGAGGCCTATAGCTTCCCTCGATTGCCTGTCCAGGAGTTAAGGATAATCAGGAAACGAAGAACAAGAAGTGGAATGTTGTTTTTAAGCAGCAAAAGCAAAGGGAGGTTTTACTAGGCCTAATCCTTGTTTGAAAACAGCCGTAACATAGAGGAAGGGATCACCTTGACAGTTGCAGATCCCGCAACTCTGTGACCCAGCCATCGTATCGAAGTTGCACGGTAACAACTGGAACTCCTACGAGCTCGTAAATGTTATTGAAAAATTCTGATTCTCTCCACTCGGATGGAAGTAGCCTTTTTATTCCAGGGACATCGCATGCTGCCATTAATTGAGAACGAACAATTAAGAATCATTTTTGATAAGATGAAAAGGTAAAATGGAACTTTTGAAGAGGAAGATCCAACTACAGACCAGCTACATAAGCATCAGCTGTTACAAGTTTCTTGTTAGTAGCCTGCAATGATACGAAACTTAAAGTTAACTTCCTATAGATTGCAACTAAAGTTCCAATATTTACAGGATGCAACATTTGAGTAGATTTACTTTAGACATGGCAAGTCCGCTAACGTATGTCTCTCCGTCAGCAGAATTATCATATAGTATCTCTCTGCATCCCCACCTTAGATGGAACCTGTTTTGGAAATAAAGATATAAGCAGTCAACTCATATCGAGGAAAACCAATGAAGTGGTGAACCATTATCTGAACTAAATAGTTTTAGGACTATATTAACAACATACCTGCCTCCTTTTTCCGTAATATAATTTCTGATCGGACCACTCAAGTAAACATCTGGAGAACCCTTCAGCATACGCAGAAGGGAAGCCTCTGTCTTGGTGGCAAACAGGGAGAAAATCGTGAGCATACATCGAGCACTGATGTTATCACAGTCAATAAATCCCAATGCATAAGCAACTGGATCCCACATTCTCTGGATACTCATGCGTGTACCACCTTTCATAAAAAACCAATCCGAGAAGCTAATCTGCAAGACGTGAATGGATTTACAGTAAATAGAAAAGCCAAGCACAAGATGCTAACTAGAAAAGCACAGGCATGATGTCTCAAGGTAAAGAAAAACTATCACAACTGGCGTACTATAAGTTCATGCTACTAAGATATTAATTTAAGTTGAAGAGATTTCTTTAGATAAACTTGGTGAGAATCTGAAAAGGGAATGAAAAGTATAGTTTTACATACATTATCCAGATCTCTTATATCCCTCATTGCTCCATCTGGATCAATAAGAGCCCTAACGACTGGACTTAGGGCAAGAGCCAAAGCATTTCTTGCCTTATCGTAAGTCTGCACTTGAAAAATATAGAATGAAATGATTAGCTTAAGCACCATCTACTTTAGCTTACAGAAACAAATAAAACACACATATATATAACAAGGTGTATTGTAGGCTATATATTTAGAAATGGGGAAACAAGTCTTGGAATGCCATTGACGATAGCACCGTAGCAGTATAGACAGTTATGGCAAATGGGAAGCACTGTAACGGTCACCAGAAGCAAGGATTATTTTTTTGATAGGAATAATAGGCCTCATTAAAAACCTCCCTCTTAGTTAGCTCTTGGAAAGAGTAACTATCGGAAGGAGGAAAAGAGTGTATTAGTTTATTGAATAGAGAAACTATTACAATAAATTATACCAATACAATTAGGGCATCAGAATAAAACTATAATCTTAAAACACCCTATAAAAATACCCTTACAATCAACCAATCCCATCCTTAGCTAATTTATCTGAGAAAAACACTGCTGAGAAAAAGGTAGTAGATAGAGTATAACCTTCAGCTGATTTGTCGCTAAAAACGCACGAATCCCGTGTATAGGAGCTCCGATCGGAAATCTAAAATCAAGTTCTGCATCACAACTCGAAGTCACAAAACTGAATGCATGGCCAAAAGAATATGCTTTTAGTTCAAGTTTGAAGTGAGACTCGAGCATAAAAATTATTATCATAGAATTTGTTCAAATAGGGACAAATAGAGACCATACCACCAATTTCACCCCCTTTGTTTACAAATGTGTGAGTATGATCTTTCACAAGCAGATTTTTATCGGCACCCACCTAGGATTCGGGAAGGCATGAACTAAAACTATCAGATAACATATTTTGAGCCTACATTAAAAGGCTGAAGAGTAAAATTTTGACAATCACAAAAAGACCATCTTCTTGATAGCTCTTTCATTCAGAAATCAATTTCCTTGCTAAGTCGAACATGTTTTCCAATGAATAGAATGGGATGAAGCGATAATATGTCAAATGACCATGAGAAAGTTGTATCACTGTTATAGACCTAACTGCTTCACCTTTTTCATCAAACGGAATAGATTGTTGTAGCAACCAAAGAAAACATGCAGCCCCATCTCAATGTGATTTCCTCTTCTATCAACAAAAGAACCAACTTTGCCTCCTATGAAAGGCCTCGACTCGTATATATCAACCTGAAGAGACCAAAAATCATCAAATTATAGCAACTATATTGAAAAACCACTACACCATGTATATTTAAAGGATGAAGTTTGCAGAAACCGGTTTCCTGAAACCAAAGTTCTCTTTTTTAACACTTATCATATTAAAATGCCAATCTGGCTAAGATATTGTACAAATAGGTATCTAGAGACAAGAAAAACCTCATGGCCTTGATCCAGTAGCTCAACCGCTGTTGACATTCCTGCGAGGCCGGCTCCTATAATAGCCACCTTCAGCTTCGGTCCCCTATAATGTTCAGGTTCAGGTGGAAACAACCCCTTTGGAGCTGCAAAGTAAAATAAATAAATCTGATTATCTACCATGGTGAAATGAAATTTTGCAACAAATTACAACTATAATTTTCCAACATGATTATCAAACATCAAACACCATTTATTTAAGTGATTAGGACCAAGAACTCCAAACTATATCCCTAGACTCCTACAGTATAACTTCAATTCATTACACGGTATCCCCTTTCTTCCAAGAATTGAGTAGACAGCACTTTCCATCTATGTTACTCGGATCCAAGTGTGAGTGTTGGATACAATGATGTTTCCGATTACGAAGTTTTTTCAAGTCCATAGCCCTTTCCAGATATCGGACTGATGCTTGAAGATTTTCGGAGATGGAAGATAAGGAGAACCCCACTTTAACATCCCAAAATTTCATATCTTAACTTCTAAATTAAGTACAATTCACTATGTTATCTACAAACCCAAAAAAAACGCTCAAAAGATCACAAAACCAAGAACACGCCGAATCCAAAAGACTCCCAAATAAACTTTGGCATAGAGCACCAAAAAGGAGTTTGAACAAAACAAAATCACAAAAAGAAGAAAACACAGGATTCAAAAGAGATCAACAAAGCCAAAAAAAATTTGCAAACGAAAATAACATGGAAAGAAAGAGTTTACCATCAATACTCATGTCAGAAACATTGCTGTCTAAAGAAGACTTCACAAAGAGCCTTGGAGACTTCACCCGAGCCGCTGAACTCAAACCAGTGGCCGCAAAAAGAAGAGAAGCAGAAGCCATAGAGAACCCACAATTTTTTGAGCTTCTTTTTTAACTTTCTTCTTATACAATGACAGGCAAGAATACCTTCCTTTGATCAACAATAAAATAAAAATAAAATGGAATCTACAGACTAAAGATGCTGAAATAAGGACTCTTTGTCAGGGAATTAAGGTGAAGTAAAATAATCCGCAACCTCCAAAGTTCTCTCTTTTTTTAATAACAAAATTAGAAAAAAATTCATTTTTTGGTATGGAAGTTGAACACTGTATAGAAGTGCGGAATGAATGAATGAGCCAAACTTTTAAGTGACTTTGCCACTGACCGACCTATTATGGGCCAACCAATACCAATTTTTTAGGTTTTCGATTTAAAATAGATTATCTTACATCATATTGTCTCTATTCTTATTTTACGTTCGAATTTCTTGTGAATTTTTAACCCTTTCAGTTTCTCACTTATCTTAGAAACCAAGAGCTGAATTGCCCTCGTTTGTGGCTAACAGAGTAAATGAGCCTTTTTTATTCAGTTTCTCTCCGTATTAGACAATAATTAAATGATTTATTGAAAAAATCTTTCAAATCACGTCCTTATTAGTTGATTCTTTCAAAGCCCTCTTCTGCTGAGCCTCTTGAATGGAGTAGCTTAGTGTTTATTTGCAGATGTGGCAGTGATGAATGAAAACTGAGAGTTCTATTCCGGTTTCAGTATCAAAGTCCAGGCAACAAAATCACCAGTGTTCGTACATCGGTCACGAAATTAAACAAAAATTGATAGGTAGAAGGTAAAATATCCATTTCAAAGAAAATAATGAAACTACAACCTAGAACTGACAATTAGCATTGGTTTTAATCCGAAAATGCCAAATAGCTAAGGTTCTCTCAACATGAATCATTGCCGAAAATCCTATTAGCCTGGACCAAACTCTAAAAATTAGATACATGCTTATGGCTATAGATATAGTACAGACGACAGTGGTTAACAGGTATTAATCCTCTGGCTTGCTGGTATTCTCCTTGAAGCTCTTAGTCAACCAGATGGCAGTTTCTCTAGGGGAGACCTTACCTGGTCCGAACGGCTTTAGTAACACACCAAGCTCATCATACCTCTCTTGCTGCAGCAACCTTGCACTAAATTCAAGCAACCCCTCCAATGCCTCGGCACGTTGCTGTAACGATGAGGGGTCAAATCTCCGCCTCCGCGTGTCTGATGAGGTGTGGCTTGATGCCCCGGCAGTTGCATTCTGATCGGAGGAATCGGTTGCATTCTCTCCTTCGACTTGAAGCACGCTGCGCTGAATTCCTTGCCATGCATCAGTTAAACTGGGATTGATGGATGCTCGATCACATGTTTGAACCATACATTTGTCTTTTGTGATTGAACAGTCGACAAATTGTGGTGAGCCGAGGAAGCCCTGTGCAGATATAAATGAAGTTTTGTGGATGGGGAAGAGAGCATCTTCATACGAGGCTAATGGGAATTCAGCTATCTTATCAATTCGAGGTTCATTGACTGAAACATCTGGTGATTGTATGAGGTGAAGAATACCAGCTTTAGACATAGAAGTTGATTCTCGGACTGTACTTCTTGGTAGTGGCGAGGATGTTCTTTGAGTTGCAGGGAGAGGTTTTTTAATCGGAGTGCGTGAACCAGGAAACTGTTGGCATGAGGCAATAAACAGTAAACGACAGCTTTTGAAACTTGAAAAAAATTATTAGCAATCTCTAGGAATGTGTTGCAAACACGTCTGAGAAAAGAAAAGGCGGGGAAGGGGAGGAAGGAGAGGAAATATTACCAAGTCACTATTTTTTGAGGGCTCTGTCTTTCTCTTAGGAGTTGCAGAAGCCTTTACCGAAGAACTTCTCGGATTCTTGGTGATACTAGAAAGTTTTGAAGTAATTGGCTTGCAGATAACTGTTCCTTCATGGCTGCTGTCAATAGACAAATCTTCTAATCTTCGATCTAAATAACCCGGTACACCATGATGAATTCCTTTGGTAGAGCAAACAGAATCTTTCTCAGCTCCAGAAATGCTTGGATTTAAAGTCCTATCACTGAACGACCTACGCCTCTCCTTGTAACCAGAGAAGCAGACATCTACTGGATCAAAAAATCTAGTTTTCTTTAAATTGGTTTCAGGCCAATTCACAGGCAATGTATTCCTTCTTGGATTATTGATTTTATGTTGAACTTTGAGAATGTATGGCTGAAGGTGTGGATGTTTGAGCAACTCCTTAGCCTATCACAATTGATATAGACACCAAATGATCAGAAAGATCATAAATTGTAGAAATGTGCACATGCAGATGAATGAATGCTACAGAAAACCAGAAACGAAGAGCAGTATCCCGCTAAAAACAACTATGGTTTCGCTCTATCAAAGTCCAAGAACATTTATGCATGAACTTACATTTGATTCCCTTATTGTCGACTCATAAAGATGCTATGCATATTTTATGACATAAACCAGAGGAGAGTTATACATACACTTGGCCTTAGTTCAGGATTTTTGCGCAGCATGCTTTTAACAAGACCACGACTGAAAAGAAAAACAAGCAATAATTAGACCCAAAAATTCACCATTTTAAAGCCAGCTTCCACGAAAATGATATTCACGAGGCAGAAGCCAATCATGGAAGGAACACGAAGCTTACAAGGCACTGGAATATTTTGTTGGAAGCGGAGCAACTATTGATTTATTAATCTTGTTTATCAGTGCCATCATATCCTGCTAGACAGATTTAAGACTGTTAAAAGAGGAAAACAAAATATGAAACCGGAATATGATTACTAAATATTAGACTAATTTTCCCTTGACGGAGAAATGCATCTATCGTCAAAGCATTAGTCATACATACAACAATCAAACCTTTCAATTCACCATCTAAAACATGTATACACGAAAATTTGAGAAGACTATGTACGATAATCGATCCTGTATATTTTAGGAATCCGTATCTAAGAAGTCCTAAGCACGGACTAAGCTAAAAAGATGTAACCATAACATGGTTACAAAGTAAGAAAGAATTGGTAGGAAAACTCACAAATGCTTTAAATGCAGGCTTGAGAGAAGTCATTTCATATATGCAGCATCCTGGAGATTGCATTTTCAAGTCATATAAACACATCTAGAGATAAAAATCTTGAAATTCTATTGAAACTGACTAAGACAGGCGCCTTGGCATTCAAGCATGTTTACCTAATGACCAGATATCCGACTTAGTACCATAAGGTATGTCAGCCAGAAGCTCAGGACACATATAACTCGGAGTTCCAACAACCTGAATAATCAGAATTGATTAATAAATCAAGCGATGTGTCGAATTCTCAAAGGATGGTTCATTCATATATTACTTACAGAGGATGTGAGATCATCGGAAGTCAAAATTTTGGCAAGTCCAAAATCACCTGCATAAGAGTTTTACTCTCATCTTCATCAGCAGAATTTCTTACTCTTTCAAAGGAACCAAGTGGAAAACGGTAAAATACTCACCAAGACGTATGTCTTGATCTTTTGTCAAGAAGATGTTCGAACACTGAAAAGCACAATGAAATAAAATATTATTAGTCGAAAGCAATTTGGCACATTTAGGAAGATCAGAATACATTCTTGAAGAGAATATCATGTCATTAACCTTGACATCACGATGAAGAATATGGTTCACGTGCAAATAGTCGAGAGCCATCAGAAGTTGAACAAGCCACTTGCACAGTTTCTGAACAAAAGTTTTTTAAGAGATCAAACTAACAGTAACTTCAACATAAGATGAAATGGGAAATGACTCGCAAACGAGTTGAAGAACTAAAATGAAAAGAATTGAAAAAACTAAATCAAAACCTCTTCTGAGAAAAGCTTGCCATTTGCTTTCTTTATGGCTTCAGCCCTGGTTTATAAGGAAGATCTTATTAAGATTTGACAATGACTAACAGAAATATATATAGATATCAGCAAGAAAATAAACTTACATGTCTCCTCCTTCACAATAACCTATAATAATAAATACGTAGCAACCCTGAAAACAAAGGCATACGAGAACCACAAAAGAACTATATTTATAACATAAAAGACAGTAAAAACAAGTATAAAATGACAAGCATAGTGGAAATAAGCATACCTTTTCTACCCAGGAATCTTTGTACTCCACTATGAATGGATTTCGAATTTTAGAAATAAGCTCCATCTACATGAATAAGTTGAATTAAAACTAAGTTCATACCACAGAAATAAGGAGTAGGCCTGCAACAAGCAACCTTGACAACTAATATTTCAAAAGTTCAATAATCAATATTTTCCGGATCCAGAAACTGCAATAGCCAACATATCCAGGATTCAAATCTCTATTATAGTAATAGAAAATGGAGCCCGAAGAATATAGGAAACCAAAATGACCGATAGGGAATTATACAAACCTCCTGATGAGCAGATCTTCGAGACCTATCAGTCTGGCGTGCGAGACGGATTTTTTTAAGCACATACCTTATCATTCCCGATGAAAAGGGAAAGAATAAATCGATAGACATAAGATGAATCAATCAAGTATGTCTAATTATTGATCTGATGCATTGCACAATTCATGTGTAAAGTAAATACAAATAGAGGGAAGGCAGTGTAAATTGCAATCTTACTTCTTCTTTTCATGCTTATGCCTCACTAGAAGTGCTGAACCGAAGGCTCCCTTCCCGATTTGCTCTAGTACCTCATACCACTCCATATGATTGATGTAGTTGACTTCCTTTTTCCAGATTAAACCGAAAAAGAAGTTACAACGTTAGATATCCATGAATTATTCATAAAAGGTAGAGATGCACTATGTTGCTCAGACACATCACACATGTTTGGACATGGGTATTGGATATGACCCTCCAAGTCCAAGTATCCTTCAAATACATGAAAAACATAGAAGATGCAAAGGAATATGCTGCACTACCTGTCCGGTTACTTGAAGTGAAACGATAGCAACAGAACATAGACTATATAGAAACAGAAATAGAAATAGATAAATTTGAAAGTCAATAAAGAAATAAGAAACAAAGAGTTTATGCATTGAAAGGGGGAAGCTTCCAGCTTTTAGAAATAAAGACAGTTCTCTGTAAATTATAAAGATAAAGACCATTGAAAGAATCAAATTCAACATACCACATTGCATAATTTAACATAAATGGAAATCAAAATTCAACAAATCACAGACACAAATCAACACTTTATTTTTGTAAAGC